GGCTGGCGTGAGCTGGGGACGGCAGATGGGATGCAGGGTCCCAGCTCTGGCTAGGGGCGCACGCCCTCCGGGGAGACCTCACATCCCTTCCCTGGAGCAGGGGCGAGTGGGAAAGAGCCGGTGAGCGGCTGGCTGGTGCCTCAGGTTCTCTGATAGCCGTTGATCCCGGTACATGTGCTTCTCTTTTACTTCTATTTGGGCCAGCGGGTGCGGGAGGGAAGAGATCTCAGGGCTGGCGACAGTGTGACACGGGCACGTTTCTTACGGTCAGAAATGCGCAGACACCCGCCCCCCGCGTAGCCTTGACGAGATGATGCCTCGCTGTCCCCCCGGCGGTAAAATCCAGGCGATCACGGGACGCAAGTGCCAGGTGGCAGCGATGTTCCCTGCAGGTGTCAGAGAAGACCCTCTTTCCTCCCCACCCCTCCCCTTTTTTGTGAGCATTATCTCTACTTAAAAGTCTGGAAACGTGAGGACGGGGGGGCTGACGTGTTTGGTCTGCTGTGGAATCTGGTTAAATGTAGACCCTGCCATTCCAGCAGGACGTGCTCGCTGAGCTCTCGGGTGCTCTCCCTTCTCCCCTCGTGGTCTCTGTTGAGGGACAGCCTTACGGACGTGACGCCGACCCAAAGGCTCCTGGTTCCAGTACCAAACTGAGCACACCTGCTGTGAGCCCCCGGGATTTCCTGGCTCACGCCGATGGCTCAGTGTCCAGCCCCCTGGCCCCTCAGCCCCAGGCTCTGTCCTCGGGGCTGCCTCCCCCTAGGCCTGAGGGACGGGGCCCCGAGGCTCCCTGCCCCCCGGGCTCTGCGCCGATGTTCCGAGCCAGCCCCTTAGTCTGGGACGCTGGCAGGTGCTCTGATCCCGGCACGATTGGTGGTGGCGGGCTCGGGTGGAGGCCCACCCAGAGAGTGGGGAGACCGTTGGGGTGGATGTCGGGGAGCCGAGCCTGGAGTGCACTGTGCGTGGGGTGCCGTGCGCTAGCAGAGCTGAGCCCGATGTGCCGAGAGCCTGTCCCCTCGGGTGCTGCCCCAGCCTCGTGGACACGGGGTCGTCTCACCCCCAGTGGCCCTCGGGTGGGCGGCGCAGCTGAGGACACCGAGGCGCAAACAGCAGAGCCTGGTCCAGCCGGGAGGGGTCAGGGCGGCAGGGTGTCGGCAGAGTCCGGCCCCCAGCCCTCTGCTGCTGATTCACCTGCTTCTCGGGGGAAGGGGACTAGGTTGCGAGAGTGCCGCCGTCCTCAGATTCCAGACCTCAGCGTCGCTGCGGTCACAGGGTACGAGCCGCAGGAAGCACCGGCCCCCTGTGCCTCAGCATCCTGCTGCCCACCGGCCCCAGATGCTACCTTGTGCGTCTCCGCGGATCGTGCAGGGCACACACAAAAAAATGCCACGGGAGTAAAGGTTCAAGTCTATTTCCGTGATGTCGCAGAAGGCAAGGGAAGCGATCTGGGGTGTTCCCTGGCCTGGGAAACCATCTTGTGACGTGGAGCCACGTGGCCTCCAGACCCGTGGCACAAAATCTTCCTGCAGTGCTTGACCTCTGGCCGCTGCCGTGACTGGATGCGTCATCGTTTGGTCGAAAACCGCAATCTGGGTGCACGATGCAATCTCTCATTAGGATGCCGAAATTGGAGAGTGACAGCAGTAACACAGCCTGGACTGGAATTACTCACGCTCTGTCCGTCAGAGGACGGCATCGTGTAAGCGACGCTTGTCCTGTGTCCCCGGGTCGGTCTCGGGCAGAGTGGGCTGCAGCCCAGCCCAGCCCCCAGAACGCCGTCTGCCAGCCCAGAGGGCACCCGGGGAGGGTGTCCACTGCCAGGTACCTGATGGTGCAGAGAAGTGGCTTCAGAACCTGCTTGGCTGCGGGGGGCCTGGAGGGCCCGGGGGTGCAGACACGGTGCCCGGGCAGGCTGCAGGCACGGTCAGTGCCTCTGTGACTTCCAGAAGCCGACTTGTGCGTTTGCTGCCTAGAACATTTCCTTCTCAGGAGCACGGCTTCCTGCGGACGCTGATCTTGGAAGCAAACCATCACCGGGCACTCTGCGATCTGCCTGGCGCTCACCGGCTACCGGAGCACAGATCGCGGCACGGGGGCCCCCGGGCTCCAGCCCCAGCTCTGGCGCACGGTGAGCGAGCCCCGGGCTTGCTTGGAACGGGTCCTGTGTGCAGCAGGTACCCTGTGGGCGTGAGCCGTGCTGGTCAGCGGGCCGGGCGTCGGGGCAGTTCTCGTGTTGTGCCGCGGTTACCCGTGGGGAAAAGCCCCACTGGACTCTGTTCTGATGTATTTTAAGGACAAACGATTTGCGTTAACGAGATTTGCGCACGAGGTTTAAAGAGTTTGGAAGCCGAGTAGGGCGTGTGATGCAGAGAAGAGAATCGAGTTAAGACGAAGAGGGTGTGGCTGGTCGATGTGGCTGAGCTCCCCCAGGAGGGACCCCGGCAGCCACGCCACCACTCTGTCCCCACCGGGAAGGATACCTTTTTATGGCCGGCCTCCAGCACGTCTCACGCGGGAGGAGGGCGTGTGCAGAGATCATACCGCGTAGAAAGCTGTGCTTTGCTCTAAAGCCCAAGAGCCCCTCTGGCTCCCGTGGGCTCTGCCACGTGGGAATGTCGTCCTCTGCAGCTAAGAGCACAGGATGTGTTTCCCTGGTCTGTGGACAGAATGCCTAGGAGCCGGAAGCCCTGGTCCACTCACCTCTCAGATGGCTAAAAATACCAGTTTCCCTTCTTTTCCTCGCTTCCTCCCTTGACTGTGGCGTCCGTTGGCCTCTCTTCCCGCGGATGTCTCTTCTTTCCTGTTCCCCCCGGTGCCTGCGGGGTCTTGGTGCGCCGGGAGGGGCCGGGTCCAGTGTTGGGACCAGCCTGGCGTTTCCCTGTGTGAGCAGCACCGGTGAGAGCCCCCCGCGCCCTCGACGGCCTCATGTACGTCACGACAGGTCGCGGCTGGCGCACTCCAGGGAGATTTGCAGGCTCACCTCTGGAATGTGTCTGCATTTGAGGGTGAAGGCCCTCCCCGCCCCGTGCTGCGGAGGCCTGCGTGATTCCTGCAGCCTGTCACGTACCCTGCCCCTCCTGGCACCGCTGCCCCAGAGCAGGTGGACCCTCTGGTGTCCGTGCCAGCTGGGCCAGCAGAGCGTGTGTGACCTCCTGCAGGGCTGCAGACCCGCAGCCTGTGGGCTGTGACCTCCTGCAGACTCAACTTCGGTGCCTTGACCATGGTGGACGTTGCAGGGACATTTGCTGACGTGGCAGGCGTGGTGTTCCTGTTAGCGTCTGGGTTCCTGTGTCCCCGTCCCTGGGGAGCAGGTCACCTGAGGTCGCCGCAGCTTCCTGGCCAGACGTGCTTCCTCCTGCATTATTTTCCCGAGGGTTCGCTGTGGTCCGTGCACGTCTGTCTGAATTGTTTGGAGACCTAACTCCGGTTTCTGGCCAAATTTTGCTGTGGCCTCTGTTGACACCACTGAGTGTGTGTCGTATCAGATCTCTGGGGAGGGCCTGGGGTGGACATGGTCTCACAGAGCACAGATGGCAGTGTAGCTGGACCACCACCTGCTGCCATTCACCGAGTGTCCCCTGCGTGCTGGGCCCTGTTCTGATCCCCACGGCCGCCGAGGCCCGTACCGTCCCTCCGTTCCAGGTGGAGGCTTGGGCTCAGAGATACGGACACTCTGGGGCTCCTGGTGGCCCGCAGGAGAGCAGGGAGCAGAGATCACAGCCCCAGCGTGTGCGTCCATGTCTGTCCTGGGTCTCCCTGTGGGTGGGTTTCTCCAGGACCCCCAAGCCTTGGTTTTCTCATTTTGAAAATAAAGGGAACCTGTTTTCCGGAGGTGTGGTGTTTCCAAGTGCACAGCAAGGAGATGCTAAGCGAGAGAGACCGGCACATGGCAGGTGCGTGGCCCACTTGGGCCCGTGTGGGGGCCACTTCGGGGGCTGGGGTGTGGCCTGTGCAGGGCTGATGTGTGGCTGATGTGTGGTTGGTGTGTGACCGGTGCATGGCCTGTGCATGACCAGTGTGGGGCCCTGTGCGTGGCTAGGGCATGGCCCGGGTGGGACCTACGTGGTGGCCAGTTCGTGGCTGCTGTGGGGGCCGGTGTGGGGCCCGTGTGGGG